ATCACAACATCCTACGCTGTCTACTTTACCTCACCTCACCTCACCTCACCGCTCCTCACCTCTCCTCACCTCACCTCACCTCACTGCGCCTCCAGGTAAAGCAGCCCAAGCATCCGTTTTTTAATATTATTTTCTTGTCACTTGTCCCAGTACACACTCCACTTCTTGTCCCAGTACACACCCCACTTCTTGTCCCAGTACACATTCCACTTCTTGTTCCAGTACACACCCCACTTCTTGTCCCAGTACACACCCCACTTCTTGTCCCAGTACACACCCCGCTTCTTGTCCCAGTACACACCCCGCTTCTTGTCCCAGCACACACTCCACTGTCCCAGTACACACCCCACTTCTTGTCCCAGTACACACCCCGCTTCTTGTCCCAGTACACACCCCGCTTCTTGTCCCAGTACACACTCCACTTCTTGTCCCAGTACACATCCCACTTCTTGTCCAAGTACACACCCCACTTCTTGTCCCAGTACACAGCCCACTTCTTGTCCCAGTACACATTCCACTTCTTGTCCCAGTACACACCCCGCTTCTTGTCCCAGTACACACCCCGCTTCTTGTCCCAACACACACTCCGGTAGGTGAGAGGGCAGGTGTTGAGGGGGGAGGGTGAGAAGGGTAGGTATTGAAGGAGGTGGTGAGAGGGGAAGGCAGTGCGAGAGGAGAGGTGAGAGGGGAAGGCGGTGCGATAGGAGAGGGGAAGGCGGTGCGAGAGGAGAGGTGAGAGGGGAAGGCGGTGCGAGAGGAGAGGTGAGAGGGGAAGGCGGTGCGAGAGGAGAGGTGAGAGGGGACGTGTAGGTGCTAAAGCCGCACGTGCGATAGGAGAGGGGAAGGCGGTGCGAGAGGAGAGGTGAGAGGGGAAGGCGGTGCGAGAGGAGAGGTGAGAGGGGAAGGCGGTGCGAGAGGAGAGGTGAGAGGGGACGTGTAGGTGCTAAAGCCGCCACACGTGTTTCTCTATCTTGCAGCGACTCATCTGTCTTTCGTTCAACACCTTCACAACTTTTAGGTCTCTCTTAAGTGATCAGTAAAAACAACAGGTGGTGTTAATAACTCGTGGTGTTAATAACTCGTGGTGTTAAGTACCTGTGGTGTTAAGTGATCGTGGTGTTAAGAACTCGTGGTGTTAAGAACTCGTGGTGTTAAATACTCGTGGTGTTAAGTACTCGTGTTGTACTCAGGATACTTCACGCAGTACAAGTAAAAGGTTTGAGAGAGGCTGGGATTGGTCATGCGTCTCACAACTATGGGAACACTTATACCACGTCCTTTAAAGTAATGGTGTGAATAACCCACCTTGTTGTGAGTGCTGGTATAGACACAAGACATAAAATAACCTGTGCCACAAGTGATGAAATAACGAAAAGTAAATAACAGAACTGTACTAGAACAACAATAATTAAATATTCATTATCATTACCACAAGGTGTAAAAAAAAACCAGAACATTGCCCGGCGCGACTCGACACAAGAGGTAGCGCTAGGTTATAACTGGGCGGGTTCAGAGAGTCATGGTCAGTGTTGCTCAGGTGCTTCCACTGAGCAGTAGTTTCGTGGTGGTGGCGTGCGGGACATCTAAGTTCGCTCTTGCCTCTTGTGTGAGTTGTTACTCTATTGGAAAACCTCTTTTGTGTTGCGACTGTGTGTATGAAAGTTAGTTTGTTTCGTTCTTGTGTTGTTAGCTATGTATCTTTAACAGTCGAGTGTTTTTATGTAAAAGAATGCCAGTAAAGTTACAACACGTGTGAGCTGAGATTGAAAATGATGGCAGTGCTTTGTGTTGCTAAGACTCTGGTGTCTAAGAGTGGCGGAATTTTAGATGGGCAGTGTGTTGGTGTGGCCAGAGAGACACCTGCCACAGTCTCCCCCTCCCCTGGCTACCTCTCTCTGTGGTGGTCCTCTCAGGTGACGAGAATGTAATTACCATTTTTTTTTTTTAGATTTCAAGTAAAAATAAAAATATCTAGGATTCACAAAGTGTTACGTTAATAATAATTCAGGATTGTCTTGGATGGGTAAATGATGCAGTTATAATAATACGAATGACAATAATAATACCTTAATAATACTAATAATAACAAGAATTAGAACAGCAACACTAATAATAATAATAATAATAATAATAATAATAAACTTATACGAAAAAAATATAAAATAAATACACAACACCAGTGTACCCCGAGGCGTCAGGTGGTCAGGTAAAGAAACACTAAATTCATGAAACAAAAGACCTGTCCCTTTTATTTTTGGTCTCTAATGTGTTTACAGTAGGTCATCCCGACATGCAGGCGTGCCAATACTTCTTCAATCAAAATATTAACTTAATGTGTTTGTAAACCCCTCTAAGTTAACAACCCTTTAACCATCAAATTCCAAAATCCGACAGAAGTACAAAAAAAAAACATCAGCTGATTAACGTGACCTTAAAGAAAGAAAATAAATTATAGAAATATTAAAATTCATAGACTTTGATTATTCAAGGATGAAGAATATTTGCATAATTTCCCAAGAGTACAGTCAGGTGCACAGTGAAGGGAGGGAAGGTCGGGAGGGACGAAAGAGGGGAGATGGAAGGGAGGGACGAAAGGAGGGTGGAAGGGAGGGAGAGAAGGATAATGGAATACCAAATCGAGAAGGCGTGGTGTTGAGCTCTCGCTATAACACAGGTACAGGTATACCAACAGGTAATGTGAGGTACTACTTAGCGTGTGTAGTGACGGAGGGTTGGCAGGTGGTCGGAAAAGTTGACAGGTGGTCGAGGAGAGGGCCGGCAGGTGGTCGGGAAGACTGACAGGTGGTCGGGAAGGTTGCCAGGTGGTGTAATAATAATAATAATAATAAAAGAAGTTATGGTGAAGTTAGAAGGAAGTTAATAATGTTCTGATCTTGAGAAAGGACTTGACTTATACGTTTCTTGGCTGTTGATGCTTACAGTGTACTGCCTGTTGGGAGGTTCAGTTGTCTTACGGCAGACCCTCCCAGCTGTTGTTGTGCTTAGTAGTGAGATAGAGATTACTTTTGTACACGACAGACGATCACTAATTGATGTTGTAAAGGCCTGGCTTTTGGGATATAAATCCCTTGCCAGCCTAATCAGGATCTTTTAAAAAGGAAAGTCAAGAACCATCTCTTTACTACTAAAATGATCACAATAATTTAACCCTGACACCACTCACTCAAATATTGAATAAACAGCACTGGAGTCAAACAATTACTTTAAACAAAACAATCAATACAACAAAGAACAGGTATTTCCTACGGCTGTAGACGAATCTTCCTCCTAACCAGCATGATGGAATGTTCTGGTAACGCGGTGATCCGCTCTCAGGGGGAAGGTCCAGGGCAGCTTCCTCACTTGGTGTTGGTGGGCGATGTCTTGCCACACAGGAGAGACGCCAGGGCACAAACGGTGGATAGGGCGTGGGGGAAGTGGCGATGACGTGGCAGCCGCGGCAGTAGCTGGAGTAGGTGACCGGAGTTGACAGCCGAATAGTGAAGGACTGGGGAATCAGCCCACGAGTCCCAGGAACCTCAGATGAGTACACAACCAGAGTTGGAATCGAACAGCTGGGTGAAGTACAGCTGTGGTGACGACTGGATCGTGTCTGGCATGCGACGAGGCAGCAGCGACCTTCTCACTTCCGTCTACCCCCCTAGTGGGGCCGCGAACAAGCAAATGAGCGGCGGACAACCATCCCGCTCGTTACAGCCCTAACAGATGTAATTTCACAAGGTTGTAAATTTCATGTAGAGGGAAAGGTATCTGTAGGGCGGGAGTTCCTTTATGATGAAATGTGAGGCTTATAAGGAGGAGGGGTAGGAAGACGTCTGCCATGTGGTCATAAGGTACTCAACCATAACAGTAGTGGAGCGTTGAGAAGAGCGTCTGGGTTCAAAGAGGTGAGGTTAAATGGTCTATATTACACAGAGATATAGACTGCGATAAACATTGAGGACAATTTTTGTGGGCAAAAGACAGAGAGGAGAGTGGCTGTCGGGGAGGGTAAGAAGGACTTTCCCCTCACCCCTCCTTCACCCCTCCTTCACCACTCCTTCACCCACACCTCCTAACCAGTAATATAGTGAGTAGTTAAGTCGTTAATAATGAATAAATACAGAAAATAATCCCCTTTCGTGGATTTTCGGGCGAATTTTTACAGCCGTAGCGGAATTAAGACAAATTGTAACTTATGGTTAGTTTAAAAATGTTGATATGGAATGAAGGGTTATAGAGGTTATAGGAGATACATAAAGAGAGAGATGAGAGGAAATTATCTCCTGTACCTAAGTAGTGAAGATGAGAGATGTCAGTAGCGGAGATGTGAAGCCATACAGTATTTCTGTTATATTTGAAGCTCCTTGATCATTTTATTGAAGCTTTCGAACACATTACTAGGAACACAAAATTCATCCCATAATTAGAGCTTGACGAACACTGCTTAAAACCTTCAACTCTAGGTTAACTTACATACATAACGAGCTTGACGAACACTGCTTAAAACCTTCAACTCTAGGTTAACTTACATACATAACGAGGTTGACGAACACTGCTTAAAACCTTCAACTCTAGGTTAACTTACATACATAACGAGCTTGACGAACACTGCTTAAAACCTTCAACTCTAGGTTAACTTACATACATAACGAGCTGCTAGTATGAGCGCTTATTAGCATCAACCTAAAGCTAAAAAGAAAGAAAGAAATATCAGAAACAGGTGGGGTTTTTTCCGATGTTCTGTCAAATAAGTTTTAATACCATGACAATCGATCCACAATCACACTTCGGGAGATCTTCACTGACGCTTGATACTGACGACGGTGTTGTGAGGAAATTTCTGGCGTAAGGAAGGAAGCGGTGACCTTAATCCTCGTCTTATTCAATTCTCTTCAGGATAACGAACGACTGCGTGTATTTTTTGACTTGAGTGTGTGTGCGAGTGCGTGTGTGTGTGTGTGTGTGCGTGTCTTAGTGTTTATGTGTTCTAGCTAAAATACACACAAAATAGTGAAGTGTTGTACTGTACATGACTTATATAACATCACAAAATTAACAAAACGGGATTCATTATTACAATCAATGACAGCAGCAGCAATAATCTACAAGTTCAACATCAACAAGTACAGTCATAACATCAGCTGAGGAACCTATACTACCAGAGACTTCAGGTAAGTTGTGGTTTACACGCTTTGTTTTCGTGTTTTTAATAGACAAATGAACTGATTTCTTAAAGTTATACTACAGAACATCATAGAGGGTAAGAACAGCCTTGGCGAGTTGGTTCTTTGGTAGTGAAAGGTGTGTTAACAGTTATATTATACCGTAAAAATATAACATTTATTTCCACACTATGAGTCTGTAAGCCACTTCCCCTGTATACCTGCGTTTGATACTTGTTAGTTCATCGGGATATATATAATTGCATTCAAAAAAAAAAATATATATATACATATATAATAATACAATTTCCAATGATGCTCCAGAATCTTGTACCGCCTCGGGCTGACTAGTGACGCGAGGAGTAGCAGTGTGAAACTTTATGATCGAACTTCATTGCCGGACTAGAGTGAAAACAACGCCTGGAGCGGGGGAGGGATTATATTAATGGGTCTTGCTCTCTCTGCCTCAAAAAGGAAATCAAATATTAACACCTTGATGGGTACTATGGGTCTCTCTGTGCTGAATAAAATCTTCTGAAGTTAACTAAATAAAATATTGAAAGTGATGTCCAGTAGTGAAGGAGTTAAAAAGAAAATGGTCTCTTATTATTCAATTCCTATTAATCAACACCTCCTATTATTCAACACCTCCTATTAATCAACACCTCCTATTAATCAACACCTCCTATTATTCAACACCTCCTATTATTCAACACCTCCTATTAATCAACACCTCCTATTATTCAACACCTCCTATTAATCAACACCTCCTATTATTCAACACCTCCTATTAATCAACACCTCCTATTATTCAACACCTCCTATTATTCAACACCTCCTATTATTCAACACCTCCTATTATTCAACACCTCCTATTATTCAACAACACCTCCTATTATTCAACACCTCCTATTAATCAACACCTCCTATTATTCAACACTCCTATTATTCAACACCTCCTATTATTCAACACCTCCTATTCAACACCTCCTATTATTCAACACCTCCTATTATTCAACACCTCCTATTAATCAACACCTCCTATTATTCAACACCTCCTATTATTCAACACCTCCTATTATTCAACACCTCCTATTAATCAACACCTCCTATTATTCAACACCTCCTATTATTCAACACCTCCTATTATTCAACACCTCCTATTATTCAATCACGTATGTCTTTCAAATCTAGTTGTCTATGACATTTTATTCACGGCAGCATCTCCGACATTTTATTCACGGCAGCATCTCCGCGTCAAGTTTCTTTGGATCCCGTCACATATAGGAATAACTGCCTGTGACACTGTTGATCGGCTTGCCAAAGAAGCGACACAAGAAGAAGATACTGAAGCCACTCTCGCCCTCTCCCTGAATCATCTCAAATCTCGCATACACGCCACACAACGAGAAGCATTCAACGAAAATTGGACACACCTGAAACAACGGGGTAGCGTCACACTATGGCACTATGACGCTGTAACCGGTGACGACAACCGCCACTACAAAGAGTATCAATCTCTGACTCAATCTCAACGGATTATGCACACGAGACTGCGCCTAGGGTACAGGTACCTATGGGAGTACACTGGCAACCCTGAGCCTGGCCGCACTGTTTGTAAACTTTGTGGCCAACCCGACTCTCACACCCTCTCTCACTACACCCTCACTTGTCCTATGACCTCCTCCTATAGGTCCCCAGCCGTTACCAACACCTCTTCCCTCCCTGACCAGATATCCCTCCTCCTAGTCACAGGCCTGGCACTTGACATTATTAGGGACCTGCCACACTTTGCCATAAACAGATGAAATGTACCGGGAACTTTCCCTCCACACACTCATCATTCTGTCACTTTATGTAACTTGCTGACAAAACCTATGACCCTTCAGGCTTCTACGCCCTGAATGCATGATTCATAAAGGCAAGCATGAACTTAGCATGCTTCCCAGATGGGCGCTGTAAACGCTTCTGCACTTCACCTTGCACAGGATGTAAGGGGGTGCCCAATAAACTAGCCCCTCCGGGGCAATCTAAAAATCTAAAATCCCTCTCCTCTTACTCATAGGTTAACTCCACACACATTTACATTTAAAACACCTGCAGATCTTTCACGTCCACTCTCCTTTGATCTGACAGACATTTCTCACACCAAAGATCTTACTTTAACATCAAAAGACTGACCTCTAAATATTCCTTTTTAAATAACTGAATAAATTATCATCCTGTTAATTTATCTTTCTGTGTGTATTCATTTTTAACATCTATAATTCTGGACCAACTCAAGTCTAAGAACCTTAATTAGAATCAGTACGTCTTCGCTTAGTTTTGTGTGTTAGTTAATACTTTCCTCTCTTCAACTGTTTTACCTCGTCATATAAGCCTTAATATCCAACATGGCCGCCATACACACCATATATAAGAACCAGTCCCCTTTATACCTCCTTAACAAGATCCCATATAAAACCGTGTGCCTTATCAATAACCTGAGGCCCTTACTTCCCCCCTCTCTATGTTCGTAATTTAATCTCCTTTCATTCTATTAATAGTTTCGTATTATGTGCACTCATGAAATTCAATTCGAGGGTTTCCTATCAGTATGGTTCAATATTTCTCCCGTCTCGCATTTCTTCCGCCCCCCCCCCCATAGTCCAGTTTCATCCCAAATATTATTATTATTATTCATTTCAATTATATCTTTTGAAATAAAGATCCTAGACTAGTTGAACTTTTTTTTTATGATGTATGATTAACCGCGCTACAGCTCACAGGAGGGAAATTTGAATTGTTATTAAGATGAACCATTTATATTATTCTTTCATCAACCTGTAGTAATGAAAGTAGGCTGAAGCGTCTGGCCCTCACCTGGCTCTGACGTCTTGCTCAAAGTCAATTCACGAAAAACCGAGGATTTTTTTTATATTGAAAGGAAAATATGTAAGAAAAACGTCCTCAGCTGCTTTATTCTTAATGATCTTGATATAAAGACAAGGTTCGTGTGGTACAATGTGACTACTTCAACTTTCCTAAACTTTTTTCAAGAGATAGCAACAGCAGGAGAGACCAGAGGTGGTGATGTCAGTCGTCCACAGCGGTGGGCGTTGTATGTCTGACCAGTCCCACGATAGACTCTTATCAGTGATTAACTTTACTTGTGAGATGCGTATTAAACACATATGTTAATTACTTGTACAGTCAAAGAAAAAAGTCGTGTCGCGGTTTTGTCCGAAGATTAAATATAACTCGTGAAACATTATGAGAGCCTCCTACCACAAGGCAGAGTGCACCAAAAGTTTAGCTCTTCGGCATAAGTTTTCACCAAATTTCACGACGCGACTTTTGTCTTTCATTGCACATAAGCGCTAAAACAAGCTGCGGTAGTGTAAATGTAAAATATTGCATGCAATTTTAATCACCGGCAACACTACACTCTGCTTGATGACTTTCAGGTTTCAACACAGTTTTTCGTTATATTTTTTGTAGACTTTATTAAATAAATACACTCATAATAATGTAGGTCATATTAAAATTAATTTTCAAAACACTGTACGGCTTAACTAGCAACAAAAATGTAAACGTATTTAATTTCTGCATTTAGAAATTGCAGTGTCAGTATCCTGTGATCATTGTTAACACATGAAGTGAATGTCGTTAGTATAATTATTCCTATGCGCTGTGGAAATGTTCGTTTTAAAGAATTTCATCAGTATAATTGTGGTTATATGCGGCGGCCTTATGATTATATCTGTAAACTGGGTGTCAAACGGTTATTATTCTGTTGGGGAGTGCAACACGGGAGAGACTACTGTTGGCCCTGTTGTCTCCTATAACCAATACTTTAATGTGCTGTTTCCACTCTGACCCTAATGACCCGTCAAGTATATGAGACCTGAATTTCACTTATTATTTGTCCAGAATTGAATTTTTCTACGAATATTTTTTTCTAATCCTGCAATGGTGTCAGAGATGATAAGGTACTCAACTCTGTCAGGATTTAACAGTCGAGCGTAAAGGAAAAAAAATCATCTCCGTCAGGAAGTGAGTAAGTGAGTGAGCAGCAGTCATGCATAGAGCTAACTTTACGAATATTAATAAACTCACTAATCACTTTTTATCTCTGTGTTCTATATAACGAGGTAAAAAAGACTAACTTCATTCAACAGTTTAAACAATTTCTTAAACAAATGAATAATACTTTAAAAAAAAAAATTGTATTCATTAACTTTATTTATTTATTTTTGTATCTACAGAATCATCACTTTTGTCTACATTCTCTTCGTGTAATTATCATCCACATAATTATTCATCTAAAAATTTATACCTGTTAATGTTCATGTTCTTCCAAGGACAGGTAAGAGAAGGTTATTTGTGGAACAACACCAACAAAACCTGACGCCCGTGAGAGAGATTTCACACTTAAAAAAACTTGCCTCCTGGAACAAGACAACCACTCAGCTGGTCGTTAATGGGGACGACCTGTATTGCCTCAAGAGTGTATTAATACTCCTCGGGAATGTAGTAAAATCTAAAGTTTTCTCTAAATTATCCTAGAACTAGATCTTGAGAGTCTCTGATTATGAGAGAATGGTAACTTAGGTTTTATGGTTCTCGTAATTTTTTGAAGAGGAAAGAGTATTGGGATCACTGGTTATAATAGAAGCACCAAGAACACCATAATGAGCCACGCCACACCTGTAAACCACACCTGTTATATCATCATCAGTACTGGTCACGTCACACCTGTAAACCACACCTGTTATATCATCATCAGTACTGGCCACGTCACACCTGTAAACCACACCTGTTACATCATCATCAGTACTGGCCACGTCACACCTGTAAACCACACCTGTTACATCATCATCAGTACTGGCCACGTCACACCTATAAACCACACCTGTGCACTATCAATATTGCCACCACGTTCCAGGATCTGTGACCACACCTCCAGTAACTGAGTGAAGCAAGAGCGTCAGAACATAAACCCGCGTTTGACATTGCATCAGGAGGTT